GACTCGGAGGCGGCGGCGGCGCTGGCGGCGACGGCGGAGACGGCTGCCCTAGTGGGAGAGGCAGCGGCGGCCGAGGAGGAGGAGGGGGAAGCGGCGGCGAAGGGTAAGCGGACGGCGCTGCCGGGCCTCGGCGGGGTCCCCCGCGCGGCGCTCCTCTCCGCCCCCCGCACCTCCCCTTCCCGGGCAGGGGCTCCGCCGACTCGCGAGGCCCTCGCGGGGCGCCCGCGCCTTCTTCGCCCTCTTCCTCCCTCCGCCCCTGTCCTTCCCCCAGTGGCGAGGCAGAGGGAGGCCCCCCAAGTCCTGCGCACCGGTGGGGGTGGGGAGCATCGGGCCGGGCCTGGCTCGGGGCGTCGGTGCGGCGGGGGAGGGGGTCCTGGGAACCGGGCGCCGGGGGAGCTCGCGGCAGGCAGGGGCTGACCGGGAGTGGGGGACCGCTGTGCCTGCCCGCGGGCGTGTGTGCGCCGGCGGCGGGGGAGGCAGAAGTCCTTTCGGGGAGCCGGGATCCGAGTAAAGATGACTTTGGGACAGGGAGAAATTGTGTGTTGGTCTGGGGGACACCGTCCTTCCCTTTCCGATCTTGGTTTTCTGCAGCCTTCCTTGAAGTGAGGAGCAAGCCCCGCTGTGAATACACGGCCTCTCGGAACTCGCGGTGTAGTTCTCGTTTTCGGTTCGTGCAGCCTCCAGCCCTGCAGTTGTGGTCGAGGCAGGGAGCTTGCGAGGGTCTCTTGGCCCTGCCGAACAGGTGACAGGTGGATTTTTCCGCCGCGGATGCTGTGGGGTTGTTGGGTCAGAGTTGTATACCGGACTGTCAGAGAGCGTGTGAGTTTGTATTTATGTGTTTGGCCGTGTTTCATTCCATATATAGTATATTTGAGATGTTAGGGTTCCGTTCAAGTCAGCTTAATTGTAGTGGAGAAATTCTTCAAATGCTTCTGATAAGAGGGGTTTTCAGCAGAGGAGGGAATTTGCCGCTTCACAGGGGTTCTTCGGTAGTTGGTGAAATTCACGTATCCAAAGCAAAGGTTGTTCAGTGCCTTTATTCATTGGAAAGTTCTTGAACGCTAAGGTCGTGTTCACGGCAGCAGCAAGGCAATATAATTTGCATCCATTTTGTCTGTTTTAAGTTAAGTTTGTAAAGTGCAAAATTTTAAGATCAGGTTGATTGACATTTTATAAAAGGAAGTAGTTTCTTAACATACTCAAAGAAGCTGTTGCTCATTATGCAATTTCAGATTTGGCCGGGAATTTTGGTGGGCATGGAATAGAATATTTGCTTTCAGTTTTTACACTGTTGCTCTTTAGTAGTAGAGTCCTGACACCTTTTTAAAAAATACCTTTAAATTCTTTGTAACAGTGAGATCACAGTTGATTTTAAAACTTGACAGTCTGAAACTAACTTTTGAAAACAGCAGTTTTTAGTAAAGGAAGGTTTTGCTTTTTATTTTGCTGTGTTTCGGCTGAACACTTTAATTAGGAACCAGGAGAAGAATTGTCAGATAAATGAGCTACAGACTAAGTTAGGGACCGGTTAAAGAAAGATACTATAACTTTTTAAAAACGTCTGTGGAATGAGTATGTTGAATGATGGTACTCTCAGCATGTTAACAGGAAATAGAGCAAAAATTCCAATGATTCAGAACTTCTGTTTGGGTTTTCCCCCTTAAGTCTAATCAGTTTCTTATAGATGTGCTTAAGTTTTAAACCTTAATAAATGGAACTAAAAGTTGAATATGTTAATGAGATGATAAGGTCATCACTGAATATACTCGTTTCATTTTTCTGTTGGCTGCATGGAATTTTCAAGTATTGTCCAAAGGACACTAGTGAAATGACCACTATATGCACACTCCCCAGTGAACTCTGGTAGTACAGCCTGTGTTCTTTGTAACTTATTAAGTGGATGCAATGATTAGATGCTCATGATACATCGTGTTTCTTGAAAAATAAACTTTAACTTCAGTCAGTCCCATTAGATTAACATAGTGCCAGTGTTTGGTCCTTACTTAGTGGAAAGAAGTGCTTGCCTTCAGCTGAAGATATTCTAAGACTTGTGTACAGTTATTACAGTGAAATCAGAACTACCTAGATTCCTAATGACTGAGTATTGCTTATTTAGTTTAGTGACATACTAGACCTTGGTAAATGTCTTATTATAATTGGTCTTGTGTCTTAACAGAAATAAAAGTTTATTCTACTTCTGTAACTTTAAAAGGAAAATTCTTTTCTCAAAGTACTGTTTAGAAAGAAGTGTACATATGTATCAATGAACCTGCTACAGTTTGAAAAATAAGTGCAGTGTGTAAGCTGACTTATTCAATGAGTTATATGCTAGAAAAGTCTCTAAGGAATGTCTGAGTTTTCTAAAATTGGCAGTTTTTTTGTTATGTAAACAGATCAAGACTAAAAATTTATTTTTTTATAATTGTTGGCATACTTTAGAAGAAACTTTCTGCCTTGTGTTACAGATTTCTTTTAAAAGAACATTCCTGGTAATCTTTACAATAAATAAATCTCATAAATAAGACTGTAAAGATTTTTAATTCCATTATATCTGTAATTGGCCAGGTTCCCATGACCCAGAAAAAAGTAATAACACTTTTCCTTTGTTTTACATATGCTATTTTTATTTGATTTAAGGTAGGGACTCTTTAAAATAAGAGATTATGAGATAATAGACAAGTGTGAAAATTAGGACACAACAATAATGAGAAAATGGGGAGTAAGATGTAGTAGAGAAGTAGATGAACAGTTCTAGGCAGCTAGGAATATGAAGATGTGGGTGACAGTGACTGCCAAGTCTAGGAAAATGATCATGTTGAACTATACTAAGGACATTAGTTCTGTCTTTTGATAGGCTTTGACTATAAATGTCAATTTAAAACTCTCTGTATTAAGAACGATAGAATTTGGAGACGCTGAAATTATAATGTATGTGTGTTCATATTTATTTAACTCTGGCTGGTATTCCAAAACTATTTACAGTAATTTAATACTTTTTTGCAATGATTCTGATTCTTAAAATTCTTAAGTACTCTGGAAGTAGCTACATTCTACATTCTCTGTAGTCACTAAACTTACCTGTGATCCTGATAACTAAAGAGTTCTGTACAAGATTGGGGAGGGGGATTTTTTCCTTTGGTTTTTACGTTTCCCATCCATCGAAACAGCCTATATATTAATAAGTCATACTTTATCTACGTTTATTCTTCTAGTTTAAAAAAAGTGTGTGTGTGTGCATGCACGCGCACACGTTTGTGTAAGCCATAATAGTCACAAAACTTCTACAGTGAAGTTAGGCATTCCACTTAGATTTTTATTGACTCATTTTACAGAATGCTTACTTTCCCATTTCCTAATCCTAGAAAATAAATGAGCACTGGTGAGAAGTGCTTAAGGCAGACAATTTGATGTTTCAGCAGGAGATCCAAGACAGAATTGCCGCAAAGTAAAACCGTGCATGTTAAATATCAATAAAAGATCTCTATGAAAACTTTTAAAGTTTTGGCGCTTAAAAGTGGATTTGTTCAAAAATAAATTTATACAGACTCCCTTCATCTCTTAATGGTGCTTTATAAATGAGGCTTTGCTGAATGTGACTTTTTGACTTGTCCCATTCATTTTAAATATAAAACTTCAATATAGAATTTTGTTATATTTCTAATCATTGATTCCAGTTCAGACTTTGGCATTAAAGGAGTGTTACTCTGTAAAATGAAACAAACTGTTTATTGAATTCTTACTGTGTTCTAAGCATTCATTCATCTCACAGATAATTATTGAGCACTGGCTGTGTACTAGGGACTCTTCCAGATGCTTGAGGTACAGTACTGAATAGCAGACAAAAATGTCTGTTCTCATATAGTTTACATTTTAGTGGTAGAAGACATAATAAGTGAGTAAAATGTACCTGGATGAAAAAGTGCAGTGGAGAAAAAACAGTTTGGGGGATGAACATTGCTTACTTGATCTTTTAAAAACTGCATAATGGGTATTGTCTTGATGGCAGAAGTTAAAACACAACTGTAATCTAGAGTCACTGGAGAGTGTGCATATTATCTAGTCAGTGTAATGTTAGGAGAAACTTCAGACTTTTTCTGGTGAAGGAACATTGTCATGTAGGTTAATGAGCTAGATCTGAGTGTTTTGACAATAGACAATAAATACATAAATGTAAATTCTTGTTAACACATGTAATACTTGTTAATTTATGTAAATTCATGTAAATACTTGTTAAACATTTAGCATAGTGCCTGGCTCATGGTAAATATTTAGGATATGTCCCCCCTTTTTTTCATTTTTCTCCTGGATTGTATGAGCAAAGGTATTTCCAAGAATTTGCGAAGTACATATTAAGGAAAACATTTACAAAGATAAAAGAACACAATATAAGTTATGAAAGAGTTTTTTGAGGAAAGAGGAAAATAACCATTCGAATCACAGTGCTTATTTTGTTTTTATACTGCATCATCACTAAGTTGAGCTTTTCAGGGATAGACCACATCTTGTTTTTCTTTCAATTGTTACTTCACAATCTGGTCAGTGCTAGGCCTAAATAGCTAGGAACTTTGTGTGTGAAATGTTGAATGTTTCTTAGTCGTAGTTTTTTCATATATCATAACTCCTTTTGGTAATAAACTTCTGAATCTGAAACCTAAGGCTGCACTGGACTTAAATTCTTAAGTCCTTAGTTTAAAGCAGAGACTAAAATGTTATGCAAAGTATTCTGGATGCCATTTTCTTAAAAAAAAATCTGGCCAAACCTTTGGAGAAAAAAATCCAAGAAATTAAAAGGAAAGAATGGATAATTTGCAGCCAGGTTACTGTTCATTATCCTGTTCCTATGATGTTGGCACTGAAACTGTAGACTTTTAAGGCTTTATGAGTTAAATGGCTCAGTTATTTACTTATATTCCTATAATATGGGGAGTGCTGATGTTTCCACAAAAAAGCAAAAAACATCCCACCACACACACTTTAACAGTAATCCTTTGTCAAATATTTAAATCTTAGCAACAGTCTTCATTTTCCTGTACTATTGCAAGTTATTTTCTAGCTAATGAATAATTTTGCTGTTCCTGAAATGTTAATACTTCTATTTCTAAAACCCTTAACCATTTACACAAAATATTTCCTGAATTTTTAAAAAGTTACCCACCCGCAAAGTGTTAAATATTGCATGGATTTTCTTATATGAGAAACCCAAAGTAAATAATTTAGGAGCAAATAAAGGATAATAGGAAACAATAGGGAGCTAGACTATGGCGCTGGAAAGGGGATCTAGGAAAGGGGAAGACAGGAGGAAGAGAAGGGGAAGTAAAAAGGATCAAGATGAGATATGTATATTTCCCCATGATGAATGTATTTATTATGTACCATAAACAGACACCAATAAAAAAGGGACAAAAAAGAAAAAACTACCCACAAAGCATATATAGGATGTTTTATATTCAAATTTGATATGCCACAGTATCACTTTGGAAATGAGAAGTACTGTATGTACATACAGTTGAATATCTTGTGACTCTTGTGTTTTATTTTTTGTGTTTGTTTTTTGTTTTGTTTTGTTTTGAAATGGGGTCTTGGTTTATAGTTCAGGCTGGCCTCGAACTCACTCCAGTCATCCTGCCTCAACCTCCCTAGTGCTGAGTTTACAGGCTTGCATCCCCTCACCTGGCAGGTTTTGGTTTTAATAATATCATTGTATTTAATAATACTGTTATGTAATTAAATACTATTATGAATCTTAAGTTTTATTCTGAGATTTATTTACATTAAGGAAAATTTTTTTTAACCCTTAATACCTTACTGTGTTAAGCTTTTAGTGTGAGCAAAATTGTTTGCTTCCTGTCAGTTTGTCAGCCAGGCAGCCCAAAGATAATATTGTTTGTTTCATTAATAGAGTCAGCGGCAGTTCAACAAAATGATTTTCCTTTCCTCATTGAGAGAAAATAATTGCTAAAACAAATGAAGACTTGAAATCAGCTGCTTGACCTTGCAGAACATTGGTCTTATACCAGACAAATTTTGTTTAAGCAGGTAAATCAACAAAGGCAAAACTATGAACCTCACGGGTAAGGGTAGAAGGAAGTTTACCTGATTTTAATTCTCTCAGCAACTGAAGGAGATACTACTTTTGATTTTCTGTTAACTCATCAGGTTGTCAATCTCTGCTGCTTTAATTAAATATCTTAGTTTTACTATCTGGGGGTCAGTGACATGCAATACCTAGGTTTGAAACTTAGATGAGTCCAGTTTAAATTTGAGTTCTATTGCTAACTGTAGCTATGTGATCTGAGGTATCATTGAGACTCTTTGAGCCAAGGATTTTCCTTTAGAAAAATGAGAATTGTAATAACTACCTTGCTTGGTAGTTCTAACTACTTTTTCTCTATTTCTTGTGTTGTCTACCACAGTATCTACCTGGTAACTAGTAGCCATCAGTAAGTTGCACTCAAAATGTAAAATACATCCTGTGATACCCTATGCTCCCACCTACCATGTGCTGGGGATTTAATTTAGCACTTTATGTTTGCTATGCAAGTGCTCTGCCACTGAACTACACCCATAGTCCATACTGTGCTTTTAAGGCAGTTTTTCTAACTACAGTACAACTCTCATAGTGGCCTCATGTTCATCACCTTTTATTTACTAGTTTAGTTATAAAATGTAATAGTAATAATCTTCGAAATAGAGCAAGTCGAGCTCTTGTTCTAGTTATCATGAGTATGTACTTTAAGGCAAGGTGATTTCACACTTGGAATTCTTTGTTAGGTTTTCCTTTTAGGGTGTCTGTTCTCTTTTCCTCAACAATTGAAATGAAAGGAAAATAATTCCTGCACTTTTCAGTATACTAAAATTTTGGACAAAGAATAAAATAAAACATAACTGCTTTTTTAAATCACAAAATGAAGCTGGGCATGATAGGGCATGCCTGTAATCCCAGCACTGGAGAGGCTGAGGCAGGAGGATCCTTGCGAGACCCTGGGCTACAAAGTGAGCTCAAGACCAGCCTGAACTGCATAGCAAGACCCTGTCTCAAAAAGACCAAAAAAAAAAAAAAAAAAAATTGCAGGTTATTAATTCTTTGTACTTTTCATTCCTATTCTTGAGGGAAGGCCTAATTTTCAATTTGAAATTAGTCGCAGATGCATGACTTAGTTTTTATATAGGAAAAACATTTCAAATTGGCATAGATTAGATATTGAATCCTCCACTATGAAGTTAAATATTATTTTTAAAACTGCTAATTTATGTAAAGTAATTCTTGCACTTTTTTCTTAAATTGCTAGGTAGCTTTTTCAATTAGTATTTCAGTAACACACTTTTCTGTTTGTATGTCACATTCAAAAGGGAAACAGTGATGTATGTCCCCTTGTTTATTGCTGGATTATTTACATTTATCTTTTGCTTGTTTTTTTCTAAAATGTTTTGTCTTAATCCATTGAGTAAGCTGGTGTGATTGCTGTATTTTGCTCACCTAATTAGTGCTAAATAACTAAATAATATCTTAATATTAAATATTAATATCTTAATGATGCCTTTTTTATTGATTATTCACTAACATTCAGAATTTTTTCTGGTGTGATTTAAGCAATTCATGGAAATATAAACAGTGATATATGCACTCCCATGTTTATAGCAGCACAGTTTGTAGTAGCCAAATCTTGGAAACAGCCCAAATCCTTATCAACCCATGAATGGATAAAGAAAATGTGGGGCTTTTAAAAAATATACAATGGAGTACTACTCTGCCACGAAGAAGGATGAGCTTGAGATATTCTTAGGGTAAATGGATGCACGTTGAGACCATACTGTTAAATGAAATAAATTGGACACATGTAAATGCATTGTTTCTCTGGTGTAAGAAACTGAAAATGTAAGTAATCAAATAGGAAGAAAATGTTCAAATGGGGAAGGGAACAAAGGAAGGGAGAGGAGGAAAGGAAAGAGGAAAAAATTTTTAGAAGTGAGAAAAGAAGGAAAAATGGGAACAAAGCTTTTGTAAATGGGAGGCAAAGGGGATGAATGGAGGGTAGTGGAATGGGAAAAACAAGAATCAAGTTATGTGCAGGTACAAATTCTCTTATGATGAGTGTAATCATTATGTGTGTCTAAAATGTGCCAATAAAATCTTACTGAAGCAGGGAAAAGAAATATAAAGCTAGTTGCAGTATAGTTACGTTTAAAACAGTTTTTAAAACTGATTGCATTAAGTATATTTAGAATATTCTGTGGTGATATGAAATCTCTTATTCTGTGAGTAGTTAATATACTTTATAGTTTTATACCTGTGTAGTCTTTGTGCAGCCTGTAAAAGTCAGAAGCACAGATAATGGGGACCCAGTCATTGACCATTGGATAAATGACGTGTTATTATTGCAGAAGGTACATATTGGTCTTTTCAGTCTTGTTTTGTAGCAGAATAGTTCTGCTGTTAACAAAAGGATTATTCATATGCATATGCACAAAAGTTTCATTTTTGTTTTGATCAACTATCATTAGTTTGAAAACATTTTCAAATTCTTTCAGATGGGTCACAATACCAATAATAATTAGGTTTGTCATCCATGTCATCCATATATTGCACAGAAATTTAAACTGAAGAAATCTCCCCTTAAAAAGTAATAATTTCCTTTTTGGTGCAGAAATTGAACTCAGGACCTTGCGCTTGCCAGGCAGGTACTATACTGCTGAGCAATATCCTCTGCCAAAAACTGATAGTATGGAAATCTGGTATGAAGCCTGTTGTATAGATGCTTCCTTCTATGTCCTTGACATTCTGTGGACTATTTTTTATACTTTTATAGGCATATTTCCAGATCATAGGTTTTTACTGGTGCTAAGTCATCAGAGGAAAATAATGGTAGAGAAGACAGCAATATAGGCAAGAAGATTTTTACTTAAGAAAAATAATTGTGGTATAGTTGCTGTTTGTTTGTTGTTTGGTTTGGTTTGGTTTGGTTTTGGTTTTTTGAAACAATCTAGTTGAAGCTGGCCTTAAACTCTCTGAGATACTCCTGCCTCAGCCTCCTGAGTGCTGGAATTATAGACATGTACCCCCATGCTGGGCTCACACTTGCTTTTTCATAATGTCCCGGTAAACAGGAACATCTACTCTTTAGAACTTAAGCAGATGTATGTAGGTATCACAGTTAAGCATTTCCTAGAATTGAAGAGAAAATGTGCACAAAGAAATATCTAAGGGACCAGAGTCAAATAAAAGTTGCTGGAAATATGGGTATTATATATTTGCATTGCAGCAACTGTTGCTGTTTACTCTGACCAGCATGTATACTTAAATAGTGTTGCCACTTTTGTTCTTATTTTCTAGTAAATGAAAAATAAGCACATTGAAATGGGGGTTTCAAAAGAAAATTCCCACTTCTACATATGGTAATTCTGCCTTTTAAAATACAAAAGTACACCCACCAGCATACATGGGTTGGGCTTGCTTGCTCTTTGAGATTTTTCTAGCTGAGGTGATTGGTTGACATGAGATTTTCCTCACTTGGACAGTCACATACTGTACTTTGAAGGATGACTGCCAGTACTATTGTACTGTAGTTCTCTAAGAGGAACAAGAAGATGCTTTTTTGGGGAAATATATTAGTTTATGGGAAGATTGAGGTGGTGATCCTAGTCAAACCAAACTACAGATCAGTAAGTACTCCAACTTCTGTAGGATTATCACATGACTAAAAGAAGAAGAGTTTGATACAACTTCTAAGGCATGTTTGTGCAAAAGAGCTGCTGACCTAAGTAAGAAATTTTGCCATACGCATTCTTCGTCGTGTCTCATCACTACATTCTTTGTTATTCTAACTCAGTAGTTTTGAGGTCCTGCTGTGTGCCAGATACTTTGCTAGGTAAAAGGTACGGGCATATTGGTAAGATGGTTCTTGTCCTTGAGATATGTTTGCAAATGAGCATCTATATTATGACCAATGTGAAAGTAGTAAGTAAAGTATTTTAGGAACTCACAGGAGGAAATACGTGATTCTGTGGGTTGATGAAAAGATATGATAGGGAAATCTTCATAGGAAAGATGACACTTAATATGAGTATGTGTCAGACAAGGAAGAAATGTACAGGCTGCAGGGAGAGAGGTCATTTCGAACAGAGGAAAGCAACATTCCTGAAGCATAGAAGTAGAAAGTCAACATATCATTAGTAATTGTGATTGTTCTTCAGTGCATTCGGCTTCATTACTGAGTTAATAGGAAATAAGATGGAAAATTAGAAGACAGATCATGAAGATACTTGTGTACTCTGTAAAGAAAATTTGACTTCATCCTATTAGTGATGAAAGGTAAGTGCTTAATGCTCTAGAAAGACTGGCTGCAGTAAAGAGAATACTTTAGAAAAGAAATTGGAAGAGGCAGACCTTAGAACCACCTGTCTGAGAGTTGACAAGGGTGGGAATTAAGACTGTGGTAATGGGGTAATTAAGAAAGGAATAAGTGATAGTCTTGAGAAAGAAATACTGAATGAAGTAAGGGTGAGGGTCACACATGCCCTGGCTTGAGGCCCTAGGTGCATAGTGATGACATTCACCAATACAGAATAGACCAAGGGAGTAATAAATGAGAAAGATGTTTGAGTTTGGTTTTAAGGTTTCTAGGACGGAGAAAGAGAAATAAGATACCACTTTATGTGGCAGGAATCAGAAGGGTTTCTGATTAGATGTTTGAGCAGGTACCTCAATGAAGTGATAAAGGGCAGAGTTTTCCAAATAGAAGGAAATGCAAATGCAGCACCTTCCAATGGGAGCCTGCCTTACCATCTTTCAAAAGCTGGAAGGCCAGTGGACTTTGGAAATGAGTAAGGGAGCAGAAAGGTAGATGAGATCCCAATGAGTGTGTGCTTGTTTGTCTAAGGTTTTTAGATTGTGGTAAGATTATATTCAAGATGAAGTAGGAAGCCAGTAAGGGTTTTAAGATAGAGAGTAATTTGCCCTCCCATCATTTCTTAGAATATGATTTATTTATTGGTGTTTGTGTGTAGCAGGGAACATTTATTTTGTATATAGTTCTATAATATTTATCTTGTGTAGAGATTTATGTAGTCATCAGTTGGCTATAGAAATGTCTCTTTATCACCAAAAAAGTTTTTTCTTACCCTTTATAACCTTTCCGTTTATAACCCCTTGCAACCACCATTCTGTTCTCTAACACCATAATTTTGTAACTTTGAGAATGTTACATAAAAGGAATCATACATTATTTTACCTTTTAAGATAAACTTTTACAATTCAGCATAATGTACATGAGGTCCAAATTGTCGCATGTATCCTAGTTTATTCCTTATTAATGTAGAGAAGTATTCTATTGTATGGGTGTACCAAAATCTGTGTAAACACCATTTTGAAGGGTTTTTAGGACTTCAAAAATAAATCTTCAATGAATAGTTTTATAAAAATTCCTATGTGAAAGTACATTATAAGCTGGGCATGGTGGTGCACATCTGTAATCCCAACATTTGGGAGGCTGAGGCAGGAGGATCATTGTGAGTTCAAGGCCATCCTGGGCTACAAAGTGAGTTCAAGACCAACCTGAACTGCATAGTGAGACCCTGTCTCAAAAAGACCAAAAAAAAAAAAAAAAGTACATTATATAACTCCCCAGGAGTACAGGTGTTGCACTGCATTATAAATATTATATTTAACTTTATAAAAAATGGCCTGGCTTTTCCAGGGTAGCTATAACCAGTAACGTATAAATACAGTTTCTCTACATCCTCACCAGCACTTGATGTCGTCGGTATTGTTCACTTCAACTAATATGTGACATTTCATTGCAGCATCATTTGCATTTTCTAATGGCTAATGATGTTGAACATATTTTCATGTGCTGCTTTCATATGGTATAGTGTTCGCTCAATTTTTGCCCATATTTTAATTGACTTGTTTGTTTTCTTATGGAATTTAAAGAGGTATTTTTACATATTCTGGGTCCAAGTCCTTTGTTGAATAAGTGATTTACAAGTATTTTCTCCTAGGATGTGTTTGAGGTTTTTTTGTTTTTTTGTCTTTTTGAGACAGGGTTTTGCTATGCAGTTCAGGCTGGCCTTGAGCTCACTTTGTAGCTCATGTTTTGTGGCCCAACTTGCAACAATCCTCCTGCCTCAGCCTCCCGAGTGCTGGGATTACAGGCATGTGCCACCATGCCCAGCATCTTCGAGGATATGGCTTCCCTTTATAACCTCTAACCAATGTCTAGTCAGTTGTTCCAACATTATTTGTTGAAAAGATAAGACTGTCCTTCCATTTTATTGCTTTTGCATCTCTGTCAAAAATCTGGTGGCCAGCTCAGTGGCACAGCGCCTGCCTGGCAAGTGCAACATCTTGGGTTCGATTCCCAGTACGGGGGGGGGGGGGGGGAATATCTGGTGGCCATAATTGTAAGAGTCTTTCCTGGATTCTCTAGTCTTTTCCATTGATCTTTATGTCTATCCCTTCACTTGTACCATACTATCTTGATTACCTTTTTTTTTTTTTTTTTGGTTTTTCTCTGGTACCAGGAACTGAACTCACAACCTTGCGCTTGCCAGGCAGGCGCTTTTGCCGCTGAGCTAAATCCCCAGCCCTATATATAAATCTTTAAAAAGTTTCTCCGATTTTATCTTTCAGAAGTGTTTTTGCCTATTTTAGTTCCTTTCCATGTAAAACTTAGAATCTATACAAATGTGTTGCTGGGATTTCGGTAAGAGTTGCATTAAATCTCTGGATCAGTTTGGAGGGAGTTTGACTTGTTTATATTTTGTTGAGTCTTTCAGTCAGTGAGTGGTATGTCTTCATTTACTTAAGTCTTTGATTTTTTTCATCAGCACTTTATAGTTTCCATCTTACAGAGCCTATGCATATTTTATTAGATACATACTTAGGTTTTTTTAAGTGGTTATTTTTAATTTTGATGGTAACTATTCATTGTTAGCTTATGTCAGTATGATTGATTTTTATGGGGAAACCTTACACCCCTGAGAGCTTGTTAGGTTACCAATTTAGTTTTTAAATATTTTTTAGATTTCACATACAGTTAGTTTTAATTCTTCCAAGCTGTATGGCTTTTATTTCTTTTTCTTGCCTTACTGCTCTGACTAGTACTTTCAGTTTCATGTTTATTAGAAATGGTCAGATTGATCTTATGGGGAAAAGCAGTATATGATTGCTGTAGGTATTTTTGTAGGTGCTGTTTATTGAGTTAGAAAATTTCCATCATATTGTTAGTTTGTTAAGAGTTTTTACCATGATTGGTCCTGGATTTTGTCAAATCCTTTTTGTATAACAACTAATATGATTATCTGGCTTTTTTTTATACTGGTAACTTTTTTGGGGGGGGGGTTGGGTTTTTCTCCGG